TCTCTATTCATTTAAAATACACATATAATAAATATATATGTATACATATATATCAAATTAAACATAATTTAATATAACTAAATGTCCAATTTACGTATCACGATCTGTAATTATTGCCTTAAACAGCAAACATTTAAATGTACATGTATATTAAAGCTTTAGACAAAAATAAATAAAGAAATATATTATAATATGACGTTAACGCCTTTAAAACATTAAACTTTAAATTGAAATAAAACATTATTATATATTACGTGTTACCAACATGTAACATCTCTAAACGAATAATCGTAGGTAATAGTCAAATAGAGCTAACAAAGTGAAAGTTCAAAAAAAAAACATTTTAGGACGTTGGCTTTAAAATTTATAAAAAAAAATACAAAATTCTAATTCAAAATACATTTCGTAATTTGGTTATTAAAGAGATAAATTTTTTGAAAATAATTTGATATGTTTGTCAATGACAGGCATTGTGTTGTTTCCCAAATTTGAGCTGACTTTTCAATAAGGGATAACTCAATATTTTATTTAGAAAGATATGAAGGAAGCCTGATGATTTTACTCATAGATGACGCAGTCGCAAAGGTATTGATATCTATTAACAAAACCTCGAGGTCCTGGGAATATTTTTCTAGCTAAAATATTGAGTCAGTTATTTTTAAAAATAGTCTCAAAACGAGCTGTTTATCAAACATTAGAAACTTTTTACTAACCTAGACAGATACTCCTTCACGTGCAAGTACAAAACAGCTGGCCACTCACGATTTAGATCTCTCGTATAAATGTACAGTTATATAGTTAATAACTCAATTTAGGAAATGTTCAACTGAAGGAATATTATTTATATTGTATCTGAAGTATGTAGTAAAGTTCTAAAGGTTAAACCAAACAAATAAAATGATCTGTATCTTCAGGTAATATTAATAATGGCATCCTAGAATGTAACAAATATAACAATATTTCTAGAGGAGAATAATTCAATTCAAAGGTCAAACTAATCACATGAAAAAAATTAACAATCTAAATATATCTAGTTGCTCTTCAAAATAATCAGTCCAAATGAAGGACTTACACTAGTACATATTAACACGTTAAATTCAATTACAAAAATCCCGCAGGTTCTTAACATTAGCCTCTCCCATCATTTTCTCAACCTTTGTATTCCATTGGATTGTCCTTAGCATATATTCCTTCAAATGTGATTAGGGGACTTTATAGTATACCATCAAATACTACCCAGCCAAAACACTTTTAACAAACTCAACAACCATCTTAAAGAAAATATTCAGAGATAAATCCCTTCAATATTATATTATTTAGAACAAAACTCATCATCGTTCATAAAGGTATGGTCGAGTTTTCCCAGTAAATATGGATTCTATTTTTCGCAAAACAACAGCCAAAGATGACAAAAATAGAATAAAATCAACTAGCCTTATAACACCGGTTTAACCTAACTAACTAGGTTTTAGCTACACCCTCTTTCTCGTGCTTTTATTTTTTCTACCCGTGGTATTTACAATAAAAATGATTAATAACAATCTCGGCATTTGCTTCGCGACAAAAATAATTATTTGTAAATTTATGATTTTATTATACAACAATATAAATATATATATATATAATAAACGCGATGTAAAAAATAATTTATGTATTATGTATGATTGTTAAAACATAATTGAATCTTACAATAAAAATGCACAAATAAGTTTTATTAAATATAACTATACCACAATCATTTTGTATAGTTTTTGATTTAATTGATTCCAAATAGCTCTTTCTTTCTTTAATTTTCTTTCCCCGAATAATTCGAATTGGCAAATAAATTATTATCCTGTAAGAATAAAAGAATTTAATGATAAAGAAAAAATAAATTCATATGTCTAAATAAAAATAATTTTAAAGTTAATTATAATCTATTTTGAAAAAATGCACAACTTAAATATACTTGTTAAGAAAATACCTAAAAAATTGAATGATTTCCTAATGTAATGTGTGAGATTCCAGTTAATTTTAATACATCTTAGACGCTAGATTTGATGGCTGTTTAGACTTATTTTTTTCTAGTTGCAGTTTTATCTTTAGAAATACCATGGGGAATATATATAAATTATTATAATTAAGTTTATCTTTTTTTTCAATTTTTAGGTCAGTTATAATATCGTTAGTGGGAGACCGGGGCATGTTGATAAGGAGTATGTCGGTGCCAGCGGCACGTTAGGACAATGACAATTTATATTTAAAAAAATGAAATCTAAAATTGCTCAAAAAAACAAAATCATATTGATAATGATAAAGGGACATCTATAGACGAATGTTTTTATTCCCAAAAAAACTAGATTTACTTTTAACATTTTTCGTCTAAGATAATAAATTATTATTCCTAACTACCATAAAATAATATAAGATAATGGTATATCCCTATTCTATAATATTGGGTAGTTGTTAGTGCGAAATTATAAGAATAAATATTGTTATTTTTAGGTTCATTATTTGTCATAGTAGTAGATATGGGGAACGTTGAATAGGGATCCTTAGGGCCATTTAAAGGGATCAAAATCCAGAATAGACTTTTCTAGGAGTGCTTGATGGCAAAGGAATATTAATTGAATCACGAATAAAAAAAAATTTATTAAAGCACATTTTGCGAAGATTTATTCCTAAAAGAGAGAGTATTTAGTTTTATCTGTACAATCATTTTTGAATAAGCATCTGCATATGTTTTATCCTATAGGTTTTCTACCAACATATTTTGCCACAAATTGATACAAGGTAAATCAAGTTCGAATTTTGGGGGAATTGTTGCTGATAATATGCCACTGTCCTCACACAGTGAAGTAAATCTATATTATCAAAACTGAGGAAAAGATAAGAGGTTCACATTTGATACCTGTCACTTCAATTACTGTATCCGTATTTTTCTTCTAGATCCATAATAGACATCAGCTAATACCTAAATTGTATGGTGTAAATCGAATTATCGTAAATGTTTTGTCTTGATTTATAATTTATGAGCAAAAAAAGAGATAAAATATGGCGGAGGATGCTAAAATATGGTGGATAATATAGATTTATTTATTTTTTAATGAGATTATTTTATTTACATACTTCGTAATTAAAAAAAAATACATTTTTAAAAAGGATCGAAACATCGATTTGTATCCCTATCCTTAATTTTAAGAGAAAATTATGAATCCGCGTAAATTGCCAAAAATTATGATGGCAAATAAAAGGATCATCGATCCTTTGATCTTGATCCCTTGATCTTAATTTATCAACTCCGAATCATAATAATATGCAATCCTGAATTTATTGTGATTTACTTACAACCTTATATAGGCCCGTAATACTTATTTTTTTAACAATAATCATTATTCGTGATTAAATATATTTTTTAAAAAGAAAATATCATTTGCTAATAATTATTAGTTCCTCCCCAAAAAACGAACTATTCCAATCATTAAACCCCCATATAAAATTCTTGGCTTGGCACCTGATTTACCCTGCATCCACGGTCATCACGAATAAGCCGGCGAAAGTATACAAAAAATTAATGAAAAATAATTATATTTATTAGCAATTACATTATTTTATAAAAATTAGATTTCTGTTTGCTGTGATTGAAATATAACTTTAATAAAAACTATGTCTAATAATTAGTGCTGTAAAGATTTTTAAAAAAATCGAACGCGTTCGCGTGCAGCGTTCAGCGTTCATTGACAAAAATCGAACGCGTTCACGTTAACGTTCAAATTCAAAAAAGGAACGCGTTCAAGTTCATGAACGCGTTCATGCGTTCAAGTTCATGAACGCGTTCATGCGTTCAAGTTCATGAACGCGTTCATGCGTTCAAGTTCATGAACGCGTTCATGCGTTCAAAATATTATGATAAATTTTTTTTTAAATTTAATTTAATATAAATAAATGCCTTATATTTTTCAACACAATATATTAGCCATGATAAAAAATAATAGTTTTATTTTGATAATATAATTATAAATACAATATAATAGAGCGATAAAAAAATAAATTTATAAAAATTTTTCTTATTAATTTTTTAATAATAATTGCCATTCAAAATTTTCATCTGATAGGCATGAACGCTTGGCAGTTAATACAGCGTTAGCTATATTAAAAACTCGCTTAACAGGGGCAGATGAAGGGATTGCGGTGTTATACTTGATAAACAATTCTTTTAAAAGGGGGAATTTATTAAAAACATTTAATGTTTTATCCATTGTTTCAAAAAATTGAGCTATGTTATCATCCTCCAATCTGCCCTCTTCTTCCTCGTCAAAAAAAAAGGATATCTCGGAATTGATTTTAAAACAATGAAATATTTTTGATATTTGGGCCATGATAATTCTAATTCATCTAATATTGAATTTTGATTTTCAGAATCTGATGATGAAATATTTATATGCATGCAAATGCTAATCTATTAAATTAAAATATAAAATATTCAAATTAATAAACTTTAATCTTATCTTCTCTAGCAGTAGCACGTTATGGTACGTTAATTGCAATATGAAAGAGGAAAAAGTAAAAACAGCTGATTAAAAAATATAAGACTTTTTTGTTAAAAAATTGGATTAAATATTAATTTTTCAAATAAATAAAAATATAAGACTTTTTTGTTAAAAAATGCGGATTAATATTAATTTTTCAAATAAATAAAAATAAAAAGTGTTTTTAAAATTGAACGCGTTCATCAAAGAAAAGGAACGCGTTCACGTTCAAAGTTCGTCAAAAAAAGGAACGCCGTTCATCACCTTTTTTCAAAAAAACGAACATGAACGCGTTCGTTTACAACACTACTAATAATTGGTCAGGGATCATATGGATATATATATATATATTAAATTTCTTATATCCAATTTTTAATGATATTATTTAGAGATTTAAAATAAAATATTTTTATTTGGAAAGAACATTGAACGAAATATCACTAACTTTATTTAACTGAATTTGGCGGGACTTGAAAAGAATCAATCCGTTATTTAAATTCTCGAATAATCAATGCTATCATAATAAACACTCAATAAATGTTTACAGTGCATAAAATTGTTCATTCGCGTTTCGATCAACTTTTTCATTAAATCAACATTGCATGGGCTAAATTTGTATTTGTTGAATTCAGTGATTCTGCCTACAGTTTCTTGCATCAATAAATTTGAGCTCGGAGTACAATTGAGTTCTCCTTCGTGAAGGGCTCCAAAAGAGTGGCCTACCTCGTGGGCTAAGTTATGGAGGACGAAACCTCTTGCCAATATTCCCTCCGTAACGGGGTGTCTATAATTTACGAATACCATATTTAAATTTTTAGGCTTTTTAGCACTATCGTCCATGAATATTCCATAATCTTCTGTACCCTGGTAGGCCTTCCCCATAACTGTGCCAAAATTTCTAAATGTGGAGCTGATGCCTAAACACGCATTATCTCCTAAACTTATTGAAGATATGTATTTTATATATATATAGTCTTCCGAGATTGTCTGACGTTTCCTAAGTTTACGATCATCCTTTATCATGACTACCGTTATCTTGGCTATTTGAAAACCAAAATGGTTAGGTTTCCCAATACCGGCAAAATCAATGATTCGGTAAAGAAAATCCAGGGATCCGTATAGAATTATAACTTCGTGTATGGCTTTCTTGATATTATACTGGAAAACCTTTTCCATGCATGGCGAATCCAAGAATACATTAATTCTGCACACCTTTTTAATGTTAGTTCTATTATTGTACCATTCTTTAGTATATTTCAATTGATTTGCCACCTCCACTTGATGTTTCCATTCTTCAATAAAACTCGGCTTAGTAAATGGTACCTTTATATAATCGTTAACATGCGACAAGGGTATTACATCGTCTTCCGTGTAATACAAGTATTTCCTGTTCTCTACCCATTTCCTCATCCCCCATTTTTGAGAGAGCGCACTTTTAACCAATTGACCTCTCGAATTGAACGATTCCCAAGTGTGCCCTCCTTCTATAAAATTTAACTTGCCATCAACGTATATTATTCCGTCAAAAAGAGTATTCTTAGGTTTAATATCAATACTGCCAAAAGCATAGGATTTTTCCTTATCCTTGACTTTCGCAATGTAATAGTGTTCAAAGGTGAGATACCGTTCTAAATATGAATTTTCGTATTGTAAAAGTTCAGACTTTATTTCTACCAAAGCATTCATTTCCACCACGTCAGTGAGAGAAATCAATTTAAGTTTAAAGGGTATATTATCAGGAGATACATAATTATCCTCTTGTACATATAGCCCACGGCTTGGGCATCCCTCTCCCACATATTGCAAGAATTCACGTAGTTGTAATAAACAGCATAAGACTAACTTTATCATAAGCCTTTTGTTTCTTTTTTTTTATTGATATTCTAAATGAGAAATTCGTATTACAAACAAGTTGTTCCATTATTATATAGTTCCAAAATATTATATATATATATATTTTGTCTAATTCTCTTTACCAAATCGATGTTGGTTCTGTTACATTTAGTCTAAAATCGGAAAAACCCTCCTATACTATGTCTGACTCTGATATCCCTCGATGACTTAAATAGGAAATGATTTCGATTATAAAATGGATTCTGACTATGTTTTCCGACTAAGATTCACCTCCCTATCTCTCGAAATTCTAGTGACGGAAGTTGCGTATTCCTAGAACCACCTAATAAATTTTTTAATAGCGACCAACCATAATTGTTAATTTAGGGTTAAAGTTATTATATATTTTATATCTTATAATTTTAACATGTCATATAATTACGTACCTACATGTACTATACAAATTGTTTTTAAAATTAAAATGCAATTTATTCCACCAAAGTGTGATATTTTTGTGATTAATAAAGTCATATAATAATGATTATCATTTTTTTATAAATAAAATAATTATATATATAAAATTAGGAATGAACGAAAGACTAAAGTTACGTTATCATAAGGTACTAGTTTTTATTTACAGCGAAAGAATTTTGTGTTGTTTATCTTCTATAATATATAATATAAAAGCCTTGTCACACTGTGACAGTCACACTTTCACAATTTATGATATACTAGCTGATAGCCCGTCAAGAATGAAGGGTAATCAGAATTTTCTAGTATGGATAAATAAAAAATTTTACCTTCATTTGACGATGGATGAATCAGAATAATAGTCAAATAAGAGGAATAGATTATCCGCATTCAACCTTCAAAGATTTCTATGAATTTTTAGAGAAAAGGCCAAATATATTATGAAAAATATGGAATAAAAAAAATATGATTTGTGAGTTATGATAATTTTCAATTCTTTAAATTTGCTCTCTCACTTCGTATAAAATCTCCATTCTCCTCAAAGAATCATTTAAATGCTTTTAAAACCTTCCTAAATACTCTTTTAAAAAAGGATCTGCTATAATTATATTAGAATCAATCATGGGGGCAAACCTGATTATCTCACAAAACTGTGGTGGTATCCACCCCATTGCAATAGGCTATTTAGAAGATTTATTAGCAAAAATAATTGCCATGGGCCAAAACCCAGGGTCTTAACTTATTAAGTATACTTATCAATTAGGATTTGTTGTTAAGGGAGAAAGCATAGCTTCACATGCCATTTGTATTCCAAAATCCTCCTCCTAACATGGCTATTATTAAAGTAGACTTTAAAAATGCTTATTCAATAGCAAATTTTGTGAACATTTCATAAATTTTTTTTATCCCAAATTTCCTGTTTATTCAAAATTCCTAGAGACATACTGTAACATTAAAACTTCTTTATTCAGCCCACATGTCATAAATTCTGACAAGAAGATCCAGCAGGGGAAAACGTCCTCGTTTATTTTACCTTGGTATTATCACATCCATTATCTTAAATCTAAATTTGATTTAGATATAATTATTTGGCATCTCAATGATGGAACAATCTCTGATGCACTTCCTAAAATATTTGGTTTTCAATTTCTTGAAGCACATTTTAAAAGACTCAGTCTTAATAAGTCCAAATCCTAAATCTGTTTCCGTGATAACAATATACATAACCCTCATCTGGCAAAATTAAATTTTTTTATTGAGTACATAAATAATAAAAATTAAAAAAAAAATAAGGAAATATATATAATTAAAAAAAGAGTATACAAGTTAGATCAACAAAAAAAATGCATTGCTGGGATTCGAACCCAAAGCCATCAGCTTCGTAAGCGAAGCTCTTGCCGATTAGGTCACAGACGCTTTTAAAAAATGGTGAATTTTTAAAATATAATATAAATTGTGACAGTGACTGACAGTGACACTGTGACTACGGCTTTTATATATAATACAAGGCTATTTAAAAAATCGTTAATTTTGATAAGCAAAAATTAGGATGCCAAAAGAGGAACGTCGATCCTGTGATCTTGATCCTTAAGCACTGAATCATATTAATCTATAATCCTGAATTTATTGTGATTTACTTACCACCTTATAAGGCCCGTAATATATTTTTTTTTAAACAATAATCATTATTCGCGATTAAATATATTTCTTTAAAAGAAAATATGATTTTGCTAATAATAAATTTTATATGATTATTAGTTCCTCCCCAAAAAACGAAATATTCAAATATTTAAACCCACCATATAAAATTCCTGGTTATGGGAGTGATTAACCCTGCATCCACAGTTAGCCCGAATTAGCCGCTGAAAGTATACAAAAATTAATGTAAAATAATTATATTTATTATCAATTACATTATTTTATAATATTAGATTACTGTTTGCTATGATTGAAATATAACTTTAATAAAAACTATGTCTAATAATTGGTCAATAAGGGATCATATGGATATATATATATAAAATTTCTTATACTCAATTTTAAATGATATTATTTAGAGATTTCAAATAAGATATTTTATTTTTGGAAATAATATTGAACGAAATATCACAAACTTTATTTAACTGTAATTTGGCGGGACTTGAAAAGAATCAATTCGTTATTTAGATTGTCGAATAATCAATGCTATCATAATAAACACTCAATAAATGTTTACAGTGCATAAAATTATTCATTCGGGTTTCTATCAACTTTTTCATTAACTCAACATTACATGGGCTAAATTTGTATTTGTTGAATTCATTGATTCTGTCTACAGTTTCTTGCATCAATAAATTTGAGCTCGGAGTACAATTGAGTTCTTCTTCGTGAATGGCTCCAAAAGAGTGGCCCACCTCATGCGCTAAGTTATGGAGCACGAAACCTCTTGCCATAATTCCCTCCATAAAGGGGTGCCTATAATTTACGAATGCCATATTTAAATTTTTAGGCTTTTTAGCACTATCGTCCATGAATATTCCAGAATCTTCTGAACCTAGGTAAGCCTTCCCCAGAACTTTGCCAAAATCTCTAAATGTGGAGCTGATGCCTAAACATGCATTATCCCCTAACCTGATTGAAGATATGTATTTCATATATCGTTTCCTAGGTACGCTATCATCCTGTATCATGGCTATCGTTATCTTAGCTATTTGAAAACCAAAATGGTTAGGTTTCCCAATACCGGCAAAATCAATGATTCGGTAAAGAAAATCCAGGGATCCGTATAGAATTATAACTTCGTGTATAGCTTTCTTGATATTATACTGGAAAACCTTTTCCATGCATGACGAATCCAAGAATACATTAATTCTGCACACCTTTTTAATGTTAGTTCTATTATTGTACCATTCTTTAGTATATTTCAATTGATTTGCCATCTCCACTTGATGTTTCCATTCCTCAACAAAGCTCGATTTAGCATATGGTACCTTTATATAATCGTTAACATGCGACAAGGGTATTACATCGTCTTCCGTGTAATACAAGTATTTTCTGTTCTCCACCCATTTCCTCATCCCCCATTTCTGAGAGAGCGCACTTTTAACCAATTGACCTCTCGAATTGAACGATTCCCAAGTGTGCCCTCCTTCTATAAAATTTAACTTGCCATCAACGTATATTATTCCGTCAAAAAGAGTATTCTTAGGTTTGATATCTATACTGCCAAAAGCATAGGATTTTTCCTTATCCTTGACTTTCGCAACGTAGTAGTGTTCAAAGGTGAGATATCGTTCTAAATATGAATTTTCGTATTGTAAAAGGTCAGACTTTATTTCTACCGAAGCATTCATTTCCACCACGTCAGTGAGAGAAATCAATTTAAGTTTAAAGGGTATATTATCAGGAGATACATAATTATCCTCTTGTACATATAGCCCACGGCTTGGGCATCCCTCTCCTACATATTGCAAGAATTCACGTAGTTGTAATAAACAGCATAAGATTAATTTTATCATAAGCCTTTTGTTTCTTTTTTTTTAATTAATATTCTAAATGGGAAATTCGCATTACAAACAAGTTGTTCGATTATTATTTATTCAAAATATTATATATATATATATATATATATATTGTCTGATTCTCTTTACCAAATCGATGTTAGTTATGTTATAAAGAATTATAATAGCAAAATATAGTAAAAATAGTATATTATTAAAATTGTATTATATTGATAGAAAGAATCCATGGAGATTTTCACAATTTTTAATTAAAATGTATATGTATAATTTTTATTTATTCCAAATAATTACGCATTTTTTTTAAATAGAAAGCACTTTAGAGTTAGGATCTCTCACCCATTTTGAATTATCACGTGCCTTCAATTACAATATAAAATTGACAATTTATTTCAATTTTGTAAAATTATTTACTCTTAAGGCTTAATAAAAAATATTTATTATAATTGCTCACTTCAACTTTATTACTTTCAGTTAGACGATTACAGAAACCCCCCCCCCCCCCCCCCTCCAATAGTTATATAAATAGCTGCAAAGATGAGGAATTAAATTTATAATATAAAGAAATATTTATAATTTCGTTTATTCTTCAATGTAAAATGTTTTGAAATTGCTACTCCCAACACTTAGTATAAAATCAGAACTTACAAGACCCTCCTACACTATGCCTGTGACTCTGATATCCCTTTAATGACTTAAATGGGAAATGATTTGGATTATAAAATCGATTCTGACTATGTATGTCGACTAAGATTGTCCTACCTACCTCTTGAAATTTTAATGACGGAAATTGCGTATTCCTAGAACCACTAATAATATTTTTTTATATTATACATAATAAAAAAGTAATATATAGCGATTGCTACTATAAAGATATGTATCTATAAGACTGGTGATCATTTCCAACGAGTTAGCTATTTTTTAAGATCTTCCTGTATACCTTATATCCCAACACATAGGCTAAAATCAGAACTTACAAGACCCTCCTACACTATGCCTGTGACTCTGATATCCCTTTAATGACTTAAATGGGAAACGTTTTCGATTATA